TCGTGGCTCCATAATCCAGAAGCTAAAATTCTTGTGCAAATGTTGTTGGACTGGTGTTGGTTCTAGCATTCATAGTAACATGTGGAGTAGGCATCCCATATGGAGAATATTGTGTACACTGCACAATAGTAGAGGTTGGATATAGAGCTGTAGACATTCTAGGATTTTGAGTATGATTAGAATACTGAGGAGATGAGAAATAACCCTGTGGAACCTGTTGATACTGTGGTGAATGCATGGAATAGCCTTGTGGAGACTACTGATTTCTGTCAAAACAAGTGGCAGTAGTGTGCCCCACTTGATGACAAATTTGGCATCCACGTTGAAAACAATTTATGGCTGAATGACCCTTTTTAACACAGATTTGGCATTTTTGCATTGGTTGATACCTTTGAGAAAACAGCATTTGATTATTTGAGGAAGGAAACTGCTGTTGAAGAGGAAAGGTTTAACCTTCATACAAAGGCTGCTGCTGAGAGTGGTTGCCACCGAAGAGAAATTTCTTGCCTTTACCCTTGTTCTTAAAATTGTTTCCCTTGAAATTGTTAAAGCTACCCGAGCAAATTTGAGATACAAATGCATAGGGACCAGGTATAGGCAACTGAGGCATTGGCATTTAAGGAAATGACATTTGCTGAAGTGGTGGCATCTGCTGATATGGGTTCAGAATTGGTGAGTATACACTTGGAAAATTAGGAGAACCATCAAAGGAAGATGTTGCAGGGACAAATTTAGTACCAGAAGTGCCTCCAGTATCATACACAGAACTGGAAGTATGAGCAAGCATGCCTGACATTAAGGATACTTGTTTTGGCACTTCATCCAAAATTGTTTCTTCAGCTTTGAGTTGAGACCTTAACTCTTGCAGAGACACAAGATTCTCTCTTCCACGAATGACAGACTTGATGGTATTATATTCAGAAGGAAGCCCACGCAATGCAACAATGATAATATCTTCATCAGAAATGATAACACTCACAGTAGCCAATTGGTCTCTAGCCTCTTTAATGAGTTGTAAATAGTCATCAATGGACACATAACCTTTCTTTATGTTTTGAAGATCGATCTTAAGTTGCAAAATATTGGTTCTGGTCATATTAGCAAACCTCTCACACAGATTTGTCCACATTTGTTTGGAGCTTGTACACCTAATAACACATGACAAGGCAGTAGTGGACAATGTAGCAGTAATAAGAGTCATCAAGGCTTTACCATGAATTTTCTAGATCTTATATGCATTAGACATAGCATTATCATTCACCATAGTTCCAGGGTCAGACTCAGAATTAACAAGACAGGGTATAAAACCATTAATGAACCCTAGAATTCCATTACCATCCAGTAGCAAATCAAGTTGTAATTTCCAAGTTACAAAGTTACAATAATCAAGTTTCACCGTAACTGTGTTGCCCACACTTGGAATCAAAGAAGAAATAGGTGACTGCATAAGTGCTAATTGAGCAGAGGTCACCATTGTTATTAGATCAATCGACAAACTGAATACTCTAGATATAGTAAGAACTGCACAATCAGATTAAGAAATCAGTAAATCATAAAGGCACCAAGAATGCACAACAAAATCTCAGAGAATTCACAATAAAATCCCAAGAATTCACAACAAAATCACCAATAACAGAGTGGCGAATCAGTAAGACGAAAGATATCACCTCGGAGAATTAACAAGAAGTCAATGAGCGACAAGCAACCAAAACCCTAGAATTTGACGATGAGCGGCGACGACAACGACCAAAACGACTGAACCCAATCACACAAACAACCGACTGGAGAAATCAAACGTCGACGACGACGACTACGACCAGAAGAATAATCAATGAGCGGAAGAAAATGATCGACGACTACCGGTGTTAACCATTAGAGGTGAAGATACCATGTCAACACAACTGAGAAAAGCAATTAAGAAACCTAGAGAGAGAGTGCTCGAGAGAAGTTTATAGAGAGAGAAATGGATAACAACTTCTGTTATATGTCTGTTGTAAAACATAATTACGAGACTTTCTACTATTTATAGCTACACCTACTATAACTATCTCATAACATAACCACTACTACACTGCCACATGTCATATTACATACAACTTAAAACCTTTATATTCTAACACAATCAACATGCGTTTTGTATAAGGCGTTAGACAAAGAAAGCAATGCTTCTGCAATATTTTCAGATCAAGCAATGGCCATGATTACAAGATTGCAAAAAGAGAAGGCAGTGCTCTATATGGAAGCACTCCAGCAACTAAGAGTGATGGAAAAGCAATTCGAGTACGATAAGCACTGCAAAAGACAAACAACCTTATTGTCGAGAATGAGAAGGAAATACAAGATAAGTGGAGGTTGAAGGCACTTAAAAGCAGACCGAGACTTTCTTGTACACATGATTAACCCAATTCTTATTTTAATTTTACTTTGGTTCTTCTAAATAAAGAAGAAAAAAAAAAACCTCATTTCAATGATATATTGGAGCATCTCCACCCATTGGTGGAGAGCAATGATAATTGGAGGGCAAGGTCAATGAAATTGCCCTCATTATTCATTATACACAGTAATTGTCTTTGTGCAAGTTCATCCGTTTGGAGGGCAAGGTCTGCTAATCTTCACGTGGGGATGTCCCACTCCTTATTTACTGGGCTTTCACTCAAGCGCAAGCCCTTGCAATTGTTGAAGGGACACTTGCCTTCAATCTAATTGCCTCCCATTTTTCTTATTGATGGAGCAAACATTTTTTGGGCAGATGGAAATTGAACTAGATTTCAAGGGCAATTGCAAGCATGCTGAAGATGCTCTTAATACTTTCATATCAATTTTTTGTTATTTTTATTATAAACTTAAAAAAGTAGTTATACTCTATTTAAGGTCCAAATTTGATTATTTTTCCAAACTCTCTTGTAGTTTTACACAAAGTAGATATCTCAATTAGATCCAACCGCCACAATTCTCTCGCAACAACCCATCCCAATAAATGTCAACATTATTGAAAATTAAAGGATAATTGTAGTTATGGTCCTTCAACTTTAATCTAATTGGACCAATGGTCTCTCAACTAAAAATCAACTCCATTAGAATTTCCATCAAAATGAGTCACGTGTCATGCACGTGAGGCTGAATCAGGGGGCAAATACGAAAAATCAAAAAAGAAAAATTGTATCAATGATTCCTCAACTTTAATCCAACTGGTGAAATGGTCATTCAACTTTAACTTAATTGGAGAAATTGTCCCTCAACTTCAATCGAATTGTAGCAATGGTATTTCCAACATAACTCATCTTGATAGAAATCTAACGGAGTTGACAAAAATGACTACAGCTACACGTTTTGGATGAGTTGAGGGACTAATGGTAATGAATTTTTAATTGAAAAATCATTGTTCCAATTTGAATAAAGTTAAGAGACTATTATTACAGTTTATTCAAAATTAAAATTTGAAAATTGTGGTGGCCCGCATATTACAGTTTATTCAAAATTAAAATTAAGGGTAAAAGATTGTTTACTACTCTCATATTTTGTGGTTTTCAACATTTAGTACATCAAGTTTTTTTCGTTTCAGATTCATACCTAAAGTGTAAATTTTGAGACAGTCTCATACATTCGTTAGTCAAACTGTTAAATATGCCGTTAATTGTGACGTGGCGCCATAACTGGGCGCCACGTGTCATCCACGTTTTTTTTTCTTTTCTTCTTTCTTCTTCTTCTTCCTTCTTCTGCAATTTTTTTTTTCTTCCTCCTTCTCCTTCTTCCTTCCTCTTTCCTTCCCCTTCTTCTCCTTCTTCCTTCTTCTTCCTTCTCCTTCTCCTTCTTCTTCTTCTTCCTCCGAATCTTGGGAAGTTTTTTTTTTCTTCTTTCTTCTTCTTCCTCCTTTTTCCTCTTTCTTCTTCTTCTTCTTCTTCCTTCGACTGCAACTTTTTTTTTCTTCCTCCTTCTTCTTCCTCCTTCTCCTTCTTCCTTCTACTTCTTCTTCTTCTTCCTCCGAATCTGGGGAAGATGAAGGTTTTTTTTTATTTTCTTCCTCCTTCTTCCTTCCCCTTCTTCTTCTTCTTCCTTCTTCTTCCTCCGAATCTGTGGAAGATGAAGGTTTTTTTTTTCTTTTTCTTCCTCCTCCTTCCTCTTTCTTCTTCCTCCGACTGCAATTTTTTTTTCCTTCCTTCTTCTTCCTCCTTCTTCCTTCTTCTCGTTCTTCCTTCCTCCTTCTTCCTTCCCCTTCTTCTCCTTCTTCCTTCTTCCTTCTTCCTCATCTTCCTCAAAAAAAAAAAACCTTCATCTTCCCCAGATTCGAGGAAGAAGAAGGAAAAAGGAGAAGAAGGGGAAGGAACAAGGAGAAGAAGGAGGAAGAAAAAAAAAACAAAAAAAAACATCCCCAGATTCGGAAGAAGAAGAAGAAGAAGAAGAAGAAGAAGAAGAAGAAGAAGAAGAAGAAAGAGAAGGAAGAAGAAGGAAGAAGGAGAAGAAGGGAAAGGAAAGAGGAAGGAGAAGAAGGAGGAAGAAAAAAAAAACAAAAAAAAACATCCCCAGATTCGGAAGAAGAAGAAGAAGAAGAAGAAGAAGAAGAAGAAGAAGAAGAAGAAGAAGAAGAAGAAGAAGAAGAAGAAGAAGAAGAAGAAGAAGAAGAAGAAGAAGAAGAAGAAGAAAGAGAAGGAAGAAGAAGGAAGAAGGAGAAGAAGGGAAAGGAAAGAGGAAGGAAGAAGGAGGAGGAGGAAAAAAAATTGAAGAAGAAGGAAAAAGAAGAAACAAGAAAAAAAAAACGTGAATGACACGTGACGCCCAGTCATGGCGCCACGTCATAATTAATAACAGATTTAACAGTTTGATTAACGGATGTATGAGACTGGTCCAAAATTTACACTTTAGGTATGAATCTGAGACGAAAAAAAACTTGATGTATTAAAGGTTGAAAACCACGAAACATAAGGTAGTAAACAGTTTTTCACCCTAAAAATAAAAAATTCACACCTTCTTTCTCCGAAACAGCAAATCCAAACACTTCTTCGGTTGGATCCTCTACTCTCACAGTGTGCACAGCAAGTACAAGAGTCACAGCCAGATTCCAAAAATAGAATAAAAAACAACCAAAAGAAATTAAGATTTTTGGGCGATTAAATTTAAATTAAACTCAATTTACGTGGGATTAATCAGCAATGAAGGATGGCGACGGCTTTCCAACAACGACTGCGGCCAGCAGCGGGAAGAAGGAGAGCTCGGATTCGGGTCTAATACTCGGGAAAGGCAGGTACAAGTTCTGGGCTTTGGCCGCGATTTTGTTGCTCGCGTTCTGGTCCATGTTCACCGGCACCGTCACGCTCCGGTGGTCCGCCGGCAACCTCAACCGCCTCTCCGACGACCTCGACTCCCGTATTCACGACGATCTCGACGTTCTTGTATGATATTTTCTTGTTTTTGTTTGTGGGTCGATTTGGTTGGATCTCTGATTTGAATGGTTAATGGGGATTTTGGGTTTTTTTTGTGGTGGTATAGGAAATGGAAGAGAGGGAGAAGGTGGTGAAGCACATGTGGGATGTGTACACTAATAGCCGTCGGATCAGATTACCGAGGTTCTGGCAGGAAGCTTTTGAGGCTGCCTATGAGGAGTTGACAAGTGACGTCCCTGGTGTTCGAGAGGAAGCCATAACCGAGATCGCTAAGATGTCCGTCCGCTCTGTGGATCTCGATCCGCCTCCGGTGCAATCTGCAGTGAGTGCCCTATGCTTTGTCTTTTTTTGTTTTGTCTTTTTTTTTTTTGTTTGTTTGATTACTTAAGGACTTGTTTCGGGTTGATTTGCTCTGTGTTAATGAAGCTACATTGCTCATTAGCTGGACATTGCATTGCCTTTTTAATTAGTGCAATGGGTTAGTTTAACTTAAGGAGTTTGGTACTTCGATTAGGAAGTCTATTAGCGAAATGTGTTGTTGCGTTGTCCATTAATTAACCTGTTAATGATTATTGATTACCAAGGGAGCAACAGAGCAGCACTAATTCAAAATTTCTTTGCTTTCATTGTTTTGAAGATTGGGTGGCGTTAAGTAGGAATTTAGATTTGGATGCTCCTATGTATTGTGCGTTATTGATTGAGATTGTCCTGGTCAATGTCTGAGTTCAACCCAAATCTGTCATTGTTCAGTTTTCAATTGATTAGGTGCCGAAGTGACTTAGTTGCTTTATAGGAGCACTTGAAAACATGCGGACCTGGGTTGCTTGAGATTGCCCTGGTCAATGTCTGAATTCAGTTTTCAATTGATTAGGTGCCGAAATTTAGGCTAGGATGAGTGACAAACAGGACTTCTAGCCACATTGGCTGGCTGTGGAATTTCAATAGCCATTTTGCCAACGGAATCTGGGTTTCTATGTGGTTAACAAGAATTAGGTTTCACCACAGATTGTGAGCTGACCAAAGCTATTTTCTGAGAATTATCTTTCACCCTTTATATGAAGCTTAACTGAATCCATTTTGTATGCGAGTGGCAAACCCAGATGAGCAACCACAAATTAGTTGGATCCATTTGTGCATCATTAGTTTTCTTAGCCAACTTAGTGCAACCCTAGATTGTCATCTGACCAAAGCCAAAATGTCCCTCCTTGCCAAGAACTTTCACCCTTTGTATGAGAATTAACTTGATCCATTCTGGAAGTGAAACTCAGGGGCAATCGAAGTTATTTTAGAGTAAGAAAGGGTGAGAGGCTGACAATTACCTAGTTGGATCTGCATCTGTACATCCTTAGTTTCCTTAGCCGACTTAGTTGCAACCCCAGATTGTCAGCTGACCAAAGGCAGAAGCTACTTGGCCAAGAACTTTTACCCTTTGTATAAACATTAAATTGATCCATTCTGCAAATGAAGCTGAGAGGCAGTGGGAATTATTTAGAGTTGGAAAGGGTGAGAGGCTGGCGATTACCTTCTTGGATCTACATCCTTGTTTTCCTTGGCTATAGGACTCTGAGATTCACTCCCTTCCAGTTAATGCATGTTAAGATATGTCTGGATGAGGATGTTCCTCCCAAAAATCTGTGATTCTACATTCTTGGAGAAAAATGCAGAAAAATGTGATTGAGATAACAGATTACTGAGTTCAGTTTTCTCGTTGGGTAAATTATGTTATGTTGCTTCAATTTCCTCGGAATTGAAGACTTTGTTAAGCAGGATCGCATAGGTGTGGTGAATTAGCTTTCTAAGGGACAAATTAGGCCTCAAATGTTAAATTGATGCTTTCTACTAGTTCAGCAGATGATATATTTTTATGTAAAGACTATAATTTAGAGCATAATGAGCATTAGATAGCTTTCCAAACATTGAATTTTGATTGATCCTGGCAGTTAAGTGTATTGTTTATCATAGGAGAATGTCAATTGTAATTGGAGTCATAAACCATGTCCTTTTGCAATTTCTTGTAGGAATGTCTTTGTATTCCTGTGTCATGCCCAACACAATCACAACAGTGGCACATGTTCTCATAAGATAACATAGTCGTGCAGTTGATGTGAATAATTAATTCAGAAGTTCAACCTATGTATGAAACCTACTCGTTTAGTTTCTTGGCATGAACATCTTGATCTTGACTAAGGAATCATTTCCTTGCATGTGCCCTGATGATATAACCAAGCCTTGCTATTTGGTTCCTTAATATCTGCAAATAATTTTATAGATGCCTATATCTTAGCATGGCAATCTGTTTACGCATGGTAAGTTTTAACATGTTCCGTCCTTTTTCTATCAGAGCGCACGAGAATTTAGTAAGACTTTGAAGCAAGCAGAGAGAGGTAGAGAACTGGTGACTTCTACAGGCAGTGGTCGATGATGTCTAGATTAATGTTGAGGACCATCGTTCAAGTCTCCGTTATCCTACATTTACGACTGTGTGCTGCCCAGAGTCCGTTGAGTGGTAGTGATGCGCACGGCCACACTCGGTTCTTGATATGTTTTTCATAGGGCAAAACTATATATTTGATTAGGTTCTTAAATGTTCCAGTTTTGGATATCAGAGTCTTGCCATGTGTGTGGTGTTAGAGTAGATGAGTTCAGAGTGCAGGAATTTTGCTGTTGATATTCTCTTGTTTTTATTTTTATAACTTCAATTATTCAAGTGAGAGGAATTTCTGAAGCATATTTTTCATGTAAACTTAAAAATGTTAGCATGACTCCTTCAACATGTTGCTTTGACAGAATTGATTGAATTACAGTGGGACCCAAAGTTTGATACTTTGAAGGTGAATCCTGATATCAAATATGAAACCCATCGACAAAATCTTTACCAAGTATCTACATACACCATCAAAACGAAAATGTTATCAAGAGTGGAGAATGACATACTCACTCACCCGTAAATTTGATATTAAGAATTGGATATCAAAAGTGAAAGTGACCCGTCGTTATTATTGAACAACATGCAGATCTTAAATTTATTTTATGAAGAAACAAACGATGAACTCCATTGACGAAGAAAAATTAAAAAACAGTACCTCGAATACATTATGAATAATAACGACAATCACATTTCAACGAAATAATGCAAAATATAAATTAAAAAGCATAAAGATCTATATTTTTGTTTCAAAGAAAAAGAAGAAGGTCTGCAAAACAACGATGAATTCCATTAACGACGAAAATCCGGAACCCAACCTAAAAATATTAGGAGTAAAATTGACAAATCATAATTTATTATAATGGATCATTTTAGTTGGACTAGTTTAATATGAACTTTGTACTAATCATTTAACAGTTCTAATCATTAAACAAAACTTATAACATGATTTTTTATTAAAGCTAACAAAATTGCTAAAAAAAATCATTGCTCTGTGACAAGTTCACACAACCAATACTCATACGCTTTTAATTCACCATTAAAAGCTCTATTACCTCAACTTTTGCAAGAGTCATCTTTGAAGAATTGGGCGGCGGACTCAGCACACTCAGCTCGCAAACCCCACAGAAATGAGGTGCCCCTACTGCTCCACCGGCCAGGCACGGTGCGCGACGACAACCAACTCCCGTCGTTCGATAACGGAGTGCACGTTGTGCGGCCGTGTGGTGGAAGAGCGCCAATCCCAATTCCACCACCTCTTCCACCTCCGTGCCCAAGACAACCCTCTCTGCCTCGTCACCTCCGACCTCCCCACCCTCCCCCACACCCAGCAACCCAACGACGCCGACGACGAAGACCCCTTCTTGCCCGCCGGCTTCATCACCGCCTTCTCCACCTGGGCCCTGGAGCCCAACCCTCTCTTCCTCCGCTCCTCCCTCTCCTTCTCCGGCCACCTCGCCGAGCTGGAACGCACCCTCGAATCCACCTCCTCCTCCTCCACATCCTCGTCGTCGTCCACCGTGGTGGTCGATAATCTGAGGGCCTACATGCAAATCATCGATGTCGCTTCGATTCTGGGGTTGGAAAACGACATCTCGGACCACGCGTTTCAGCTCTTCAGGGACTGCTGCTCCACCACTTGCTTGCGGAATCGCAGCGTTGAAGCTCTCGCGACTGCTGCTCTGGTCCAGGCTATCAGAGAGGCCCAAGAGCCTAGAACCCTCCAGGTAATTTCACTCATTAGTGCTAATTGGGTTAATTGGATGCATTTTGAGTTGATTTGTTTATTAAAAGTCTGGATTTTGATGATGGGTTTTCAAGTTTTGTGGTTGTTTCGGGTTATGGATGTTGTGAATTGGCGTTTGGTTTCTGTATTGCAGGAAATCTCCATTGCTGCAAATGTGCCCCAGAAAGAAATTGGCAAGTACATTAAGATACTTGGAGAAGCACTGCAGCTTAGTCAGCCCATCAACAGCAATTCGATATCGGTGCATATGCCGCGGTTTTGCACTCTCCTCCAGCTCAATAAATCTGCTCAGGTACCTTTTGTTTCGATGCTGAATTCGCTACTTGGACTGCTCATTGAATTTACATCACTTGAAATGAGTCTTCTGGATGCATATGCGTTCTTGTTGTATGGTTAGATGATTACTGAAGGAAGGAAATGTGGCACTGGCATTGTATGTGCAATCGAAAAGATTTTGTTTTTCTGTAATAAGTACAAAAACAGATTTTGGAGTTAAAAGTTTTGAAGGTGTGTTATCTCACAACAGCTATTCAAACCAATATCTGCTGGATTCTAGTCTTGATTGACTAGTTCCAGTGTAATTGAAAGCTAAATGGAGGCACATTTTTAATAACTCTGTAAATAACATTACAGTTTCTTAACCAACGTCACATCTTATTTGCTTCATCTGCACGCATATCTTCAATATATAGATTACAGACTTGAATTTGACTTTCTGTGACTTAAATTGTTGTATTTTATGCTTCATAACCAACGCCACATCTTATTTGCTTCGCCTGCATGCATATCTTCAATATACAGACTACAGAGTTGACTTGACTTTTTGTGACTTAAATTGTTGTGTTCTATGATGAGAGTGTTGAACTTGAGTTGTTCTCCTGATGAAGTCCATGATCACATACTTTCGTGTAGAAACTGGCGACTCACATTGGAGAGGTTGTCATCAACAAGTGCTTCTGCACGCGTAGGAACCCCATTAGTATCTCCGCAGCTGCAATATATTTAGCCTGCCAGCTTGAAGACAAGAGAAAAACTCAGGCAGAGATTTGTAAGGTGACTGGTCTTACTGAAGTTACTCTCCGAAAAGTCTACAAGGAGCTCTTGGAGAACTGGGACGACTTGCTCCCATCTAATTACACTCCTGCAGTTCCTCCAGAAAGAGCATTCCCTACCACTGTAATCGCTTCAGGCCGTTCTTCATCATCTAAAGTTGATTTTGTTGATTTACCACTTTATTTGGAGAGGGAAAAGCTGCTTGAAAGAAAACCGAACAAGCCAAACGAGGGATTAGACATGAACATTCCACCACCCGTATGTAAAGAAGAGTATGAGCGTAAAGGTAATTCTCAAGGTCCGATGAATCAATCAACTACTTTCTGGCAATCCCAGGTTCCATATGGGACTTCTGATCTAAAGACGGCGGGACAAAAGTATGAGAATGGTGTGGAAGGAATGGACACGGAAGAGCCCCAACCTAACCAACAGCCTAATCCAACTCATACTATAAACCCCCCAAGTTCAGGTGCATGTCCAGTTACCAGGCAGTTTCGGTGCCCATCTACATCAAGTCCTTCTCCAAATGTGATGTATGTGCTGCCGCCGAAGCTGGCACCTGGTTATACCGAGCTTAGAAGCAGCGGTGGACAAAATGGAAGTGAAAGTGGCAGACACAGTGGGGAGGCCTAGTGGCGTAACTTCCTTCTCATGATCGTCGTAATCCTTCTGTATTTGAGCGAGAAAGGGGACACTCCCAACTCGGCTAAGCATTCGATTTTCTTATCATTTCAATTGTGTGATATGATTAAATGCATTTCTTAGTCTTCTTGGCCCTTGAAAGAGTGGACTATTATTGTGAAGTCACAAGCTGATCTTTTTTTATAAGGAAAGTGAAAAAAAGAAAAATGTGTGCTATGATTCATATTGTGCTCATGTTAGTCCAACTCATGTCACACTTTTATCAACTGAAAAAAAAAAACAATATCATATTACTAGACATAAGATTAAAACAGTAAATTGTATTAATGGTGTCTTAATTTTAATTTAATTGAAGCAATGATTCATTCATTACAAATTTATTATCATTGATTTCTAAACTCATCAACATGTGCAACCATGGTCATTTTCGTCAATTCTATTAGAATTTTCGTTAAAATGAGTTACGTATTATGCACGTGAGGCTAAATCAATGAGCAAATATGGAGAATTAAATAAGAAAAATTGTACCAATGGTCCCTCAACTTTATTCTAACTAGAGAAATAGTTCCTAAAAATTAACTCAATTAGAGCAGTGAACCTTCAACCTTAGCTTAATTGTAGTAATGATCATTTCAACATAACTTATTTTGACATAGTTGACGAAAATGACTATAAATATACATTTTAATGAGTTAAGATACCAATGATAATAAATTTATAGTTAAGAGGTTATTTCTCTAATTTAATTAAAGTTAAAAGAGAATTGTTTTAATTTAGAAGCTCAAACAAACTCAAAGATTACGTCACTATTTTACCAAAAGATGTGGTGTTTTAGTTTTACCACCGCGTCAAAACAAGCATAAAAAGGGATTTGGATCCTCTCCTGAGCTAATGGAGAGGATCCTCCTGACCAAGTGTTATGGGCCGTTGGATTTTCATCTAACGGCTATAATTATTATAACTTTAAAAGGACCCACCTGTTTGTAGCCGTTGGATGAAAATCCAACGGGCCATAACACTTGGTCAGGAGGATCCTCTCCGTTAGCTCAGGAGAGGATCCAAATCCCATAAAAAGCATGTCGTAGATAAATAGTAGGAAACAAACAAAAGCAGCGTGGAAATTACGACATGAAACGCAAATGCTCCGTCACGAAGCGTCGTGGCAATCAAGTAATTTGGTCAGATCACATAGGCATTTCTGTAAGCTAACTGATATTTCCTTCAGCAGTTACGTGTCTTCTTTCATGCGGAGCCGAAATCCTCTCTCCTCTTCTCTCTACCTCTCTCTCCCCATACAAACAAACACAACAAACTACAATTTCCACCGTCTATTTATCCACGTCACCGATCCGCGCCTTCAACATCCAACGGCCCCCCTATTTTTCGATGTGGGTAGGTTCAGCCCCCCGAACCCTAGCGACGGAGGGCAAAGACCAACGAGCCCCCTCTAGAGGTTTATCCCGCTCGCCCAATACGAATAGGAGAGAGAAAGTAGAGAGGGAAAGAGAGAGGAGATGGAGAGGTAGAGAGAGGAATTTCATTTTTGGTCCTGAAGCATCTCCTACTTGCAGAAGAGTCCGTCCGTACATATAAAAGCTTAGGGTTTTAAGGCGGCTCAGAGAGACAAAACGATTAGGATTCGTGTCGTTTTTTCCCTTTGAATCTAGGGTTTCGGTTTTTCTCCCCATTTTCCTTCTTCCCGGGAATTGAAAAATCGTAGCTCCAGTGATTTTTCAGAAAATATATGATAGAAGAAAAGAAAAATTAGGGAGAAATTTTGTATTTTTGTTCTTTGTATGAGATAAATTAGGGTTTCGAATTTGATGGACGAGATCTGGGAGCGAGCCGTTGAGACAGCGCTAGAGGGCCAGACTGACCACGCCGCGGCTCGAGCCCTAACCCTTGACGGCGCCGTTAAGTGTGTCCAGGGTCGCCTGCCCCCTCCGGGCCTTCTAGAGAAGTTCCAGAACCTTCAGCACCTCTCAATCGCAAACGTCGGCGTTTCGTCCCTGGAGCAGTTCCCGAGGCTCCGAAATCTCCAGAAGCTCATCCTTTCTGATAACAGAATCGCCGGCGGCCTCGAATTCCTCGTCGAAGCCGGACTCAACTCGCTGAGGGATCTCGACCTCTCAAACAATCGGATTCAGCAGGTCGAGGATCTCGCGCCGCTGGCGCAGCTGAGGCTCGTCTCGCTTGATCTGTATGAGTGTCCGGTCACGCACGTCAAGGATTATCGATCTAGGGTTTTTGGATTGATTAAATCGTTGAAGTATTTGGATAAGATGGACGCGGATGAGAACGAGAGGCCGGAATCTGACGATGAGGAGGAGGATGAAGAGGACGAGGAGGATGATCCTGGGAGTGGTGAAATTGACGGGGAGGAGCGGCCGTTTGAGATGACCAATGGGCACAGTGAGGCGGTTGAGGGAGTTGTGGATGTTGATGAGGATGAAGAGAGTGATGCGGATGAGGAGGAGACGGTGACTGCGGGCAGAGTGAACGGAGCGAATCACCCAGCTGAGAACGGGTTCCGGTTTGCTGCGGCTGGTGAAGATGGCGATGAGGATGAGGAGGAGCCCGATGAGGATGATGAGAATGATTCTGGTGAGGAAATCGATGAGGATGGCGAGGATGACGATGTGGTGGAAGTTCATGAGATTGAGGATAGTGATGATGAGGAAGATGGGGTTGAGTATGATGAGGATGATGATGATGACGACGACGATGAAGATGACGAGGAAGAGGAGGTTGACAATGATGAAGGGGATTTGGCAGAGCCGGAGAGTACAGGGCGGTTGACGAGCACGGAGGGAGAGATTGATGGGCATGAGCAAGGGGAGGATGATGATGCAGATGAAGATGATAATGGCGAGACGGGAGAGGAAGAGCAGTTAGTAGAGGAAGATGTAGAGTTTGAGGATGAGGATGGTGATGAAGAGGTGAGAGATCCCTTTAAATAACATCGTTACATTGTAAATTCTAAATCTTGGTAGTCTGCTTTTATATTTACAAGTTGCTATAATTTTATTTGCTTGTTGTTTCTATTAATTGATTGATTTTTGTGGCTGTGTTTAACGGTTTATGGCTGATGTTCTTATAGATTACAGGAGAGGAGAAACATGGCTGCTGTTCTAATTATGCCATAGCATCTTGTGCATATGGGTTGAACTTGGTTTTCTGCATAAATCTATGTGTTTGTCGATTGGTTTTCTTGTAGGTTTATGAGGTTGCTTCTTTGGAGTGTCTGCTCGAATATTTTGAGATAATGTTTGTGCTTTTGTGTGTTTATGTGTGGTATATAGCATATTGTGAAAGTTTCAAACCTATGATTTAGGCTGTTTTGCCTTATTCGTAGGTAATTGTTTTTGTTATACGGTTTTGGAAGATTTCTCAAAAATAAAATTTCTGTTGTAGCGGCCTTTTGTGTAGTAATAAAATTGGAAAAAACATATCTTAAAGTAAATGGAAGAGTATGCCTTTAAACCTCGCACTTTTATTTTGTGTTATTGCTACAATGTTTTTTGTTTTAAAAAAACCATTATTTTGTGCCTTATCTTATGTGTTGTGTACTTCCAGTGTTGCTGGACTGCTTGTTTTAATGGGGAGTTTTTATTTTCTTTTGAATTTTCTAAGTGATTATGTGTTATTATATCTTGCTGGACTGCTTGTTTTAATGGGGAATTTTTTTCTTTTGAATTTTCCAAGTGATTATGTGTTATTATATCTTGTGGACGAAGAAATTGAAGGTGTTATGATAGATTTTCAAGACCCTTTTTTGTCTATTTCTTTTGATTTATTTACAATTTTTGCGGTAAGATGTATTTATTTTGATTGGACTTAATCACGGTTTTGAAGTTCGCTAAAATGTTAATAAGTCATTTGTTCTTGTTTTCTGACTGCTGTTATGTTAGTACTCGTATTTGTTGATTTTGCAGCCAATTACCCCCCTATGTCTGGTTGCATGAATTTAGAGTATCGTTCTAAGATTTTCTATGTGGCGCACTCATGTTCCAGCTATTTCGATTCCTAAGTCGAATATTTGGCTCAGATGATCTTCATAGTAGTGTTCTTATGGTCTTGCCAGGCAATACGAAGCACTGATAGGTTATAATACAAGGGTTGATTTTGTTTGTTTACTCAATGTGGTGTCTGTTTTTAATGTGTTGGAAGTGAATATATTGCGGATTTATTGTTAGGGCTGCAATTATATGACTAGTTATTTCGTATGAATTTTAGCATCTATTTGTTAATTCCTGAATTTATCAACTTATGGAGACATGTTTGGCTGGCAGGAAGAGGACTATGGTGGAGGTTACTTGGTTCAACCAGTAGCACAGGCGGAGGAAGAAGATGCTGGGGGCAGTGACATGGACCCTGGGAACGAAGAAGGAGATGGCGAAGAGGAGGAAGTGGAAGACGAAGAAGATGACGAAGTTGAGGTGCTACCCCCCTCGTCGTCATCCCAACTCAAGCGGAAGAGAGACGGAGATGCAGATTCAGACGACAATGGAGAGGACGACGAGGAAGATGATGATGTGGTTGAGTACAGCAAGTCTTCGAAGAAGCATCGTTGACAGAGAGTCAGTAATCATCAATCTGGTGACAGTATTTAATGTTTTTGTTGATGGTGTTCTGCTGTCTTAGTTTGGAAAAACAGAGAAACCTCGTAGAGAGAGATTAGATTAGATTTGCTTGGTTGGTTGGTTGGTTGGTTGGTTGTTAATAGACTTGGATTTTCCTGAGATGTTGGACAAACAACATATATAAAATGTTAAGGATGTTTAAAAAGTCGTTGGTGAATCATATAGCCGTAGCTGGATGTTATTCAAATGACAGTTATGCGGGGTTCTTGCTTGGAGGGGAAGGAGGGAAGAGCAATTGGAGAGTTGGAGGGAAAAAAAAGACTTGAAAAATTGTTGTTTTTTGGAGATGTGTTCGTTTGTCCAACCAGGTCGTCGTTTTTTTTTTTTTTTTTTTTTTTTAAAAGGGGGGGGGGGGAATTGTAAAAACCCTCTGTAGAGATAGTCCTTGTATCTCTTTGTATATTATGTTGGCATTTAGGCTTCGAATCTTGGTATGTGCGTTGGATTTTTCGTTTATTTGTTGTTACATTTACAGGTGACGTGGAGTTATGATTTGTCCGAGTAATGTTCCAGGTGGCAATGATTGTGAGGTGGCTATGGGATTTGAGACCTAATGTTAGAGGCGTCGATCCGATATGCAAGAGTGCAGCAAAGTATGATGCACTTGGTTGTATGCAAAATATGATGCACTTGGTTGTATGGAGTTACCGAGCGAAATTAAATTAGCATTTTATAAAGAAAAGGTTGTTGGTCATAAGCTCCTGAGCTGAACTTGTTGACGGCTTTACTCAAAAGGTAGCTGCAAGCTTTCACGTGCGATTGTGTTGTGTGACTTTACAGCGGCTTGGGTGAGCTAGCAGTGCATGGAAGAAGAAAGAAAGAGATAATTACAAAACATGCCACTCTAGTGTCGGGTCGCTTTCTACAAGGGACGTAACCACCTAATTTTTCACATTTCTAAATTTGTTTAAACCTTTAACAATTAAGGCCACTCGTCTCCACTGTATAAGCCAAAGAAATCACGGATAATTATTTTTAATTCATGAATTAAATAAATCAAACAAAAATTAATGAATTAGAGATCATTTTCCCCCAATTTATATCGGTTGGATAAAGCTAATATCATTTCCCACCCTTCCATTTTGCCTAAACCTCAAGTATGTTGCTACTTTCTCCAGCATCCACCTCACTATTACCAAAGCCATTTCACAATTTCAATGCTAGAGATAGAACAACAACAACAACCAGATTTGTATCTCCCCTGAAAATTTCAGCCAAGGCAAAGGAAAGCAGCGATGAGAGCACCCCCACCATTGCAGAGATAGCAGCCATTGCAGGAGGCTTAATCTCCACCCCTGTGATTGGCTGGTCCCTGTACACCCTCAAAACAACCGGGTGCGGCCTGCCGCCTGGACCGGGCGGTTCAATCGGCGCACTCGAAGGTGTCAGCTATTTGGCCGTCCTGGGGATTGTGGGTTGGTCCTTGTACACCAAAACCAAAACCGGCTCCGGTCTGCCCAACGGACCCTTCGGACTGTTGGGTGCTGTTGAAGGTCTGTCTTTCTTGTCCTTGCTCTCCATTTTGGTGGTGTTTGGGTTGCAGTTCGTTCAGAATGGCTCCATTCCAGGTCCAATCCCAACTGACCAGTGCTTTGGATGAGTTGGGATTATTGGCCGGTACAATCCTATCTTGTGTTTGTGGACACGGTTGGTTGGTCCTCCAATTGATCATGCTTTTCAATTACTAGGATAATGTGTAGGGTATCTATCTAAAAGAAATATGCCATTACGATGTTTTTCCCAACTTTCCTTTCTTCTGTGAGTAGAAATGAATATCAAAGAATTACAAAGTGACTGAAATTCTTCTTCTTGTATTATTAACGGAGTAGGGTTACAGCAATTTATAGAGGCTATACAATTGTGATCCTATATTGAATCCTACAATCAAGGGAAATCAAATACTAAACAAGTAAGTGAATAACTAATTACAATATACAATATTGACTTAATCAATTTGAGATATCTTCCTTAACACTCACCCTCAAGTTGGAGTGTATGTTAATCACACCCAACTTGATGAGTAGCGTTTCAAACTGTGTTGCACTCAACGGCTTGGTGAATATGTTAGCTTGCTGATCAATTGTTCGTATGTAGACTGTATGCACCATTCATCCTTGAACCTTCTCTCTTATCATATGACAATCAATCTCTATATGCTTTGTCCGTTCATGAAACACTGGATTCGAAGCAATGTGTATTGCCGTCTAATTGTCACAAAAGAATGTGACAGGTTGTGGATGGATAACTCTCAAATCTTTCAAGATGTTCTTTGACCATGTAATCTCGCAACATGTAGTGGCCATGGAACGATACTCGGCCTCTGCATTGGAGCGGGATACAGTGGTTTGTTTCTTTGTTTTCCAAGAAATTGGTGCTTGACCAAGTAAAATACATAACTCGTTATTGAGCTTCTCGTATCCTTGCATCTAGCCCGGTCAGCATTGCAAAACGCCTTTAATTGCAATGATCTTGTAGAAGGCAGAAAAATACCTTGTCCAAGTGCACTTTTGATGTACTTGAGAACCTTGAGAACCTTTTGATGTCTCTTTTCATGTTCTTGCACCTGTCTCGTCAATCAACTTATCAGTTTAGTTTGTTTGTCACTTTGTGCATTTCTTAAATGTCTCACATGTTAGCATTTTGTAAACTAACCTTGTTGAATTCCTTCTCTGTGATGTCAAAGGTTCTCCTTGTTATGGCAAATAGCTTGTGAAAAATCTTTGTTTCATTTGACAAAAGCACTTGTTGATTTAAGGGTTAGGCTTACTTTGGTCTTAATTGAGGTGTAGTGATAATTCTTCTCTATAAATTGGGCTAAGTGACTTTTCCAGTACAAAACACCACCTAGTTTGTCTTTCATTGTCATCTCAAAAGTAAAATCATTTATCTGAGCTTCAATCTATTCACTCATGAGCAAAGTTCTCAAAGGTTCAAAAAGGGGAAAAGGGAAAATTTCTCAAAAGTATTGTCTCATGCAATGTCATGAAATATTAAATTCATTTCTCTCTGTCTCAAGAAGGGGTCAAAATGTGTCTTGGATTGTCTAAATGCAATTCTCTCCAATCATATCTATGGTTATGTGCTCCATATCACATTTTCCATCTCAAAAGTTCTACTAAGCTTGGTTCTTCATTGTGAGTAGTTTTGTGTTTAGATATTGGCTTAATTTCTTTTGTGAGGATTGTGACTTAATCTCAACGGGTTATTAAAAGTTTGGTTAGCTTTTGAATCAAATCCTTGCTTACTTGCGTGAAACTTAGTTTTCATTGGTTGTCAACAATCTCTTTCCTATACCTGGACACATCATGGATGTGGTATGAGCAAGTGTTAATTTGTGTTGTGCCTTCATTGTGTATCCATAAAAATTTGGTTCTGAAGTATTGCATTGCATGTTTCCTTTCAAATGTACTTGCTTTGTCAAATATTTATTATCAAAATTGTCTTGGATGCTTGGTTATTGAATTTGTTTATTCTTGGATTTTCTCTTAAAATTCAATTGGCTATAGCTCAAATGGTACTAGGTTTGTATATGTGGCGTGTTTTCTTATGTTTGTGTGTTATCTTCTCTCATGGTTTCATCTTGTTGCACTTAACTACTTTTGTTGTAATTAATTTCAACATTCTGACTAGTCACGTGGTCTAATCAGAAACGTGAGGTTAATTAAAGGTATTCTTGTCTTTGCGCCGTCTGTTTTAATTGTTGCATCTCATCTATTGGTTTTCATAATACGGCTTAGACCTTTCCACAATCTCCTAGGTTTCAACCTTCTCTAACCTATATAGGTTTTTACCATACCTTAGTTTGTGCCGTTTGCCTTGTTTGATTTCCTTCCCTCATTTTTCAAACTCTAAATCTATCTCGCCAAAAACTTTCACTTACCAATGGTCGGAAACACTGCTACTGTCCGTGCTCAACCCTTTCGTTACTTTACTCGATCACAGACTGCGAGGAATTCCTCTAAAGTTGCAACTGATAATCAAGTTCCCATATTTTCATCCACTCAAGCCAAGAATTTCTTCTCTACGGTGGTTGCTCGAAAGGTTATGCGTGAACGACAAATCATCTGGGATGATCTTTCCTTGTCTGACATTATCTGTTTTGATGACCTCATTGAACAGTACAGGCTTCATAGGGTAAACTTTCTTCCTCCCAATTACAATATTTCTATGGTTCAAGAGTTTTACTCTAATATTCCGTCGAACTTTCTTGAGTCAGGTAGGGTTGTTTATGTTCGTGGTGTTATGGTTGCTTTTGACCCGTCTATCATTTGTACTGTCCGTGAACTTGATCTGTCTTCTGCTTCCGTGTCATCAAAATATAATGTTGCAACTAGTCAATATGACTTAAGTGCTTACCATCGTGAGGCCTATGTTGATCCGTCTATTCCACTCGTTAAAGGGCAGGTGTCAAAGTCTCGTCTCAAACCTTTTTATAGGATTTGGTCTGATTTTATCCGTAGAAATGTCTTAGGAATGTCGAACAATGGTAACCCTACCATTAAGTCAGCCAGAGTATTGTTTGCCATGTTAACTCACTGTGATGTGCCTTTTGGTTTCTGATTTTCAAGTCAATTATGTCTAAGTCCAAACGTGTTTGAACCCACCAGAGAGGGTCTACCATTCATCATTGTCTGATCACTCAGTTATGTGAACATGTTGGTGTTAAAAAAAGCCTGAATGATCTTTGTCCTAGAACCACTAAGGATCTTGACAGAAATGTGATGAACCTAAGCGATGTAATGTGTGTTGTAGCTCAGGATGATCCTAAACCAGTTCCTCCGCCAAATGCTTCTCAAGACAGAAAAATAGCTTATCTAAAGTCTGAAATCAACTCCCTTAGAAAGCAATTTGTTGATTTCAAATCCTTGATTAGACAATCTACTTCCTCACCATTTGTTAGTCACTCAATCTCCACACCATCTCTGAGTCAAACTTCCCTAAATCCTTCATCGTTTGTCCCTGAGCCGTCTCTACATCCTCCAAAACTTGTCCCTTAACGTCCCATGACTTTGTCACATGCGTCTTATCATATTGCTACTTCCTCCAGCCATTCAAGTGTCGTTGCTGCCAAGATGGCCGCAATCTATGCTGCTAAAGGAAAGGGTGTGACCATCAATGTTCATCATCATGTCTCTTCTACTTCTACCTCGAAAGGCAAACACATCAGATTTTCCTATTATTTTGATGAAGATGAAGATGCAAAAGGTTTTAGTAGTGGCCCGCACTGGAGATGCCCCTATTGAAGATGTCTTTGCTGTTGGATCTCCTATTGGCTCAAATGACTCATCATAATCCAAGGCGTTCTAAGTTTGTTAATTAAGAGCAAGTGTTATTGGGGGGTTCTGTTTTGTTAGCCATTAAACAATGTTTGTTAAATTTAAAACTCCACTTTCTTTTAGTTTTTGTTGTAATTAATCTTGCAACTCTTTTGACTTTATCTTGAATCTTGTGACCTTTGAGCTTAAAACTGTTAGATTTTATCACTTTGGTTCCAAAACTTTGCACCATTGTGGGCTATTTTGGTTCTCCTAGATGCATCGACCCTTCCTTATTGCGTGTTATGCTTCACTACTTATTCCTTGCTATGTGTTGTGCTTCCTTGTTAATTTCTTCCTTTGTCTTACCATGACTAAATGAGGGAGAAAAATTTAAATCACGTTTCAATGTGGTAACTAGAATATTGACTTAATCAATTTGAGATATCTTCCTTAACACTCCCCCTCAAGTTGGAGTGTATGTTCCGTCCATAAATATTTCGGTTTTTATAATTTTAATGCGTGAATTTACGAAAATACCCTTAGAGGTGAAATCATTGACTTTTGTTGACCTTCGTACCGGGCAACGTATGACCTATTCTATTAATGTATCCTTATAGTTCTCATTGTTACGAACAAGTTGGCGCAAACATAATGTAATTTGGAGTTATAACGAAGAAGTTATAAACGAACGAAGTTGAGGGCAAAATGGTCATTTGACCATCATCTAGAAGGCTCCAAATTCGCTGGAGCATTGGTCAGGTGATCAAGATAACATTTTTGTTATTTTGTTCACTTTCTTATGCAACAAGAGGGGTAACATTTTTGTTAAGGGATGTTAGGGGACTAAATTTTGTAGACTAAATTTTATAAACTAAATGACATGGAAATTTATGATTGCACTATTACTTAAATATTGATTAACGTGCGTGCTTATTTCTTATTGGTGACACATTATTTAGTTTACAATTTCAGTCTCCCTAGCATTATTGTTTTGTTAAGGCATGTAAGTTAGGGTTACATCTCAATTAAGCCCAGTAAAAAATTCATCTCCAGCCCAAATGGAAAAGGTTAATTATCACATAAATATTTTTTTCTACCAACAAATGAATAGCCCTCCAAATATCTATGTTGATGTGATTATGCACTCCAATAACTACCATTAAAATCCAATCATCATCAATTGCTAGCTTCTTACACTTTAATTGGAAATGACATCCACATTTTTTAGTTTTAGAATTATTTCTATCCTCATCTTTTATATTTTTTTTTTTTTTTTTTTTTTTTGCGGATTCGCTTACATATGGTTCATTTCATTCCTTTCACAACCCAATGTAAGTCTAGGGCTCTTGTTAGCTTTTCCGCACCCAACCTATTATTATTATATATCTTTTAAGGTTTTTATCGGTCATTTTACAAATAGGCGAACTTGTAACTAAAAATTTCATTAAAAAGTGAGTGGAGACATAAGACACTGGATGGTAATAAAAGCACTTATACTACAATCTTCTACACTAATAAATGAAACTTTGTAACCAA